CTCTGACAGTGGAACCTACCAGTGTTATTTCCAAGATGATGATTTCTTTGCAAAAGCCCAGGTGAAGCTGGAGGTTACAGGTGAGCCTGATTCTGTTCTGAGCTCCTTCTTCTGTGGGGCCTGGGGACCCAGGCTCCTAACCCACCTTAGAGACTCCTGCCTACACCCCAGCAGCTGCCTCCCTCCTCCACCTCTGCTTCTCTGGGCCCTTGACAGACACAGGTTTTCCTGCCGGACGGGCTCCTCCTGAACCATGTGAAGATGCCCCTCCTGCAGCCAGCAGGGTCTCAGCAGGGATGTGGGGTCAGGGCAGGAAGGCTGAGGAAACCTCCCCTCAGTGGGGGGCACACAGTTGAGTGGGATCAGCTGTGTTCCAGGCAGTGGACCTGGGCCCCCCAGATGCTCGCTGCTGTGGGTCCAGCGAGACTGAGCTGCAGGGACATCACCTGTGCTGCCATTTCCTTCAACCAAAGGCTCCAGGATCACTCCTGCAGTAGCACAAGTTGAGTTTAGTACTAGTTGCAGTGAGGAGAACACACATTGTGGAAACATGGGGTGTCCACATGAGGGGGTGTCAGTGAGACTTAGTATAACTTTGGGCTGACAGGGGACTAGGGGAGGGTTTATGGAAGGAGGGCTTATTCTGGATCATATGCTGTCAGGAGGGTGTGAGGTAACTTGTCACTCACCCCTAGGACAGGGGATGATTGCTGGTTGCTGTGGTCTGAACACTGTTCATGTGTTATTCTGTGTTCAGATCTGATGACTGCGTGGTCTTGTTTTGTCCTGACCCATCACAGGGACAAAGCATCCTCTCTGATGCTGCTGTTCCATGACATTGTTCATGTCCAACATCATTTCTCTTTCTCGGGGCACAGCCCTGCCTTGCACAGGAAGGAAGGAAGGTGTGGGTGGGAGGCCCTGGCTTTCTCCCTGCAGGGCCTCCTCAGCTACATCCCTTCCTGGAAACCACAGCTCCTCTTAAGAAACTCCTCCCGACAGGACTGGGTTCTTCCAAGTCTTCAAAAAGCTTCCTCCCACCCCCTGATCCCCTTGGTTTAAGAGTTTAGGGACTGGTGGTAACAGCTCACTGCTCCTGGCCCTGGGTCAGCTCTCTCCCATGTAGTCTTTCCCCTTCCACAACCACAAAATAAAAATTCTCCTGAGTCCAAAGACCCGAAAAAAGAGGCTGTAAACTCTAGATTAATGATATCAAGAGTTCACCACAGCGACTCTCATACCAGGAACAGCCTGGGCGGCAGCAGTACAACATGCATATCCTCCCCACCACCTGGCAAAGCCTAAAGCTCACGCAGGACAGGCAGGATAGATAGGGGACTGGGGTATGACCCGCCCAGATAAGGGGAATGAGTTACATGCCTGGGGCGGTGAGGGCCAGTATGAGTTACATGCCTATGGCAAGTGAGGGCCAGTTCCAGGAACAAGCACTGGGCAGGGAGAGGGTCCAGGTGTCTCTGAGGGGATCCATGGGAAGAAGTCTCTATTCTGGCTAAGATCCAGCTGGATCGAGCAAAAGGGTCCATGAGGGCCAGGCAGTGGTCACCTCATGGAACAGTCTCCCGTGCACAGCACACGTGGTAAATAGATCCTTAGTGAACCCTGCCTGCGTGATCTAGTGGAGTGAGCCCCTGTTCCTGATGGGACCCTCACCAACACAGAGGCCTCCTCATGATTCAGGCTCACTCTTCCTTCCCCAGCCCTGGGCTCTGATCTTCACATTGAAATGAAGGGCTATGAAGATGGAGGGATCCGTGTGGAGTGCACGTCTGCAGGCTGGTATCCACAGCCCCAGGTAGAGTGGAGAGGTGATTGGGGAGAGAGCTTGCCCACCATGGCAGCTCCTGGGTCTGCAGATGGAGAGGGTCTGTTCGCAGCCACGTCATCTGTGATCCTGAAAGGCGGCTCTGGGAAGGGGGCCTCCTGTTTTGTCAGAAACCCCCTGCTCAGTCAGGAGAAGACGGCCAGGGTCTCCATTGCAGGTGAGTGCCCAGCCCCACACTGAGATCACCTGTGGCCACTGGGAGAAGGAGGCCTGAGTGTCTGCTGCTGACCTGGGTCTGTGCAGTGAGCATAAGGCTCAGAACAGGGACTTGGGTGCCCTTTGTCCTTGAAGCTGTTGATGTCACAGACATTTTCTGAGCATCCCTGCCGCCTCCACCTGGGACAGGAGATGGGAATGGGCAAATGGTAAATATCAGCAAACACATGACAAAGTGGGGAAAGTGTGTGCAGACACGTCCTGGAGAAAGGGCTGAGCTCCTCAAAACATGAAACAGCTCAGTACAGAAATGAATGGTTCCCAGAAGGAAATACCTCCGCCAAGGATGTCCAGTCTCACTGAGCAGGGAGACGCTCCCACCTGTGAGATGGGCAGCAAACAAACCATGTAGTTGGTATCACTGATGGCAGGACTGTGGGGAGACAGACACTCTTAGACGTGTGTTGGTATAATTTGGTATATTTTTGTATAAATTGACACAGCTTATATTGGAGGAGAGTAGAACAATCTTAATCCAAACTAGTTATTTATTGACCCCAAATCCCAGTTCTTGAAATTTATCTGGCAGATCAGCTCAGGATTGTATGAAAGGTCTGATGGACAAAGATTTCTTTTATAAAAATATATATTTTTTGATTTCAGAGAGGAAGGGAAATGAGAGAGAGAGATAGAAACACCAATGATGATGAGAGAGAATCATTGATTGGGTGCCTCCTGCATGCCAGCATCGATCACACAACCTA